CTATAGCAATGGGAGGGCCCCAGCAGAGAGAAAAGTCAAGATAACGAGCGCTCCTCCCGCCAAGCGGGCGACAGGAGCAGCGGGCAAGTGCTTGGTAAGCCAACAGCCCAGTGAACCGGGCGGGGCACTCGAAGAAAGGGGGGCACACTGAGCAAGTACGAGAAATTGGCCCCGCTCCGCTTTCTTAAAAGCAAGGACCACTACGGGAGGTCAAACCAAGGATCTATGGAAGTGGGGGCTCGTCCCCGGTCAATATTGGATCAAACAATAGGGGGCCATAGCACTGACCTCTTTTTTTATTGATTCAATACAATAGGGGAAAAGATCGTACAGTTCCCTACAGAGACAAACTCTCAACGGATCCTCCGCGCGTTGGGAATACCTCTTCCGTGCGTCTTTCTTGTGGCGGGAACAGAACAACAGGGAAAGACTCGGTCTAGGGCGAGCTTTATTTATTTAAGAGAGAATCGGGAGTGAATCGAATTCTGTTTCCATTCTTTGGGGGTTTGCGGGCCCCTCTCGAACTTTTCTACGTTGAGAAGGGGGAAGGAGTCTAAATCAATGGACATTAATGAACCATCATTGATGGACGTTGCACATGACATGATCAATTCGACTCAAGGTCCGGCGCTAATACAAGTTGCTTACTTTCCTAGTAGCGAAGGAAAGGGCAGAGCTTTTTTCGTAGTAACAGTGGGCGGGTCTCATGAGATCTATGCGGGACGTCGGAATCAAACGAAGGTCGAAGGACCATTCAATTCATCAAGGGGCATAGCGACGCCCTCACCCGGCGCCATTTCCGGACCTAGCGGCAGACGGGCGGGCCGTGCCTGAATTCAGACCGGACCAGACTTTTCTTTGTTTGAGCTGGTCCCAAGCACGCAGACCGAAGATCTCACTTGTCGTAGACAAGTACGTAGAGATCTTCGTGGGACCGTGGAGGGAGTCTCAATCGATCTTTTCTATGATTCCTTATCACGCAACACATGGAGATCTTTCCATTGATAGATCAGAGGGTCCCCCCTTGAACAAATTCTTAAAGGTTAGGTTACTATCTGCTTCTACGGAAGAGGTTTACTTTGTACCGCCCGTAGGTCATATAGATCGGAATCCGGAGCGATAAGAACGAAAGGGTTGGCGTGGCCACAACTACAACTACTGGCGCTTCAAATTAGATTCTAAGGGCGCTATTGAAAGCATTTTTTTAGGTCTTGTAATAGGGAGGTGTAAGCCTCGAAAGCCTTTGGTACTTCTGTAGGGTCGGACGGCTTTCTTTGCCCCAGCTTGGCGAGTCGCATCCCCGCACAACGACATTCTTTGTTTGTGTGCCCCTTACCGTTCTCGCTCAGTCTTTCAACGATTAGGAAGGCAGTCATAGAAACGAAGCCTATCGCCACGCTGACCATCAAATACGAGATTGGGCCCCTTCTCAAAGATTTGATGGAATGGCCTACCCCACCTAAGAGCGCTTATGTCATAGGGGAACTCATGGCTGGAAACAATCCTTATGGTTTGTTTTGATATCCGGTAGGAATATAAAAAAAAAAGTCCAGGTTGGTTGGTGAGCCTAGTGATAGGAGACTATCTAGCTTGGTTCGGAGAGCACTTGTTGGGTTAAATATTTATTTGTTGCTAAATGTTACGGCCTAAATGCTGAACTATTGACCCTACTTGTTCGGATGGGTGTTCACCCCAAAGTGTTCCCGGACCGCATGCATACATCCGTAAGTAACTTAGTGCAACATGGAAAATTTCATTGAGAGGAATCAGCAAAGAAAAGAAAAACGGGTCAACAACATCAACATGTGTATTTGAGAGATTGTCCTCGGGCTGAGGAGTGTCCACATGAGTTCGTTGAGGTGTTTACACAGGCCTGTGGTCCTCTTTTATATTCTGTCGAGAGTTCGGATTGCTCCACCTAAGTAGAACGAAAAGAAGGAATTGGAAAAGAAAAGGGGGAGCTATTGTGAAGCCTAGAAAGGCGGAAGCGGAAAATCGCTTATACCGAGTTCCCCAACAGCAGCTTAGCTTAGTAGCAACACTCTTTCTACTGGCGTGGCGCTGCTGGATGCTTCTGATCAATAGAAGACGAAGAGGAGGAAAAAAAAAGCTTATGATGAGCATCTATTTGAGTCGATCATTTCCAAGATCTAATTCCAGTTTTTTCTTATGTAGTGGAAACGCCTTACAATCTGAAGTTTTACGCTTAAGGGAAGAAATGTTCTTGGTGGATGCAGGACTTGGGACCCCCAGAATTTGTATGCAAGATGAGCCTACAGGAGTGCCAATCAACCGAGCCACCAGGTTTGAGAATAAGGTGGGATTCCTGGATCTAGTGGCCGGTGAATCACTGATCAAAGAGCAGATTTTAGAGAGATTCTTCATCGATCTAGTGGCCGGTGAATCACTGATCAAAGAGCGAGCAGCCGCCAGGTTTAATGATTTGGTGGGATCTACAGATGTAGTGGCTGGTGAACCGCTTCTTCTTCTTCCACGAAGA